AGGAAAGCTGGCAAGCCCAGGTGTTGGGTTGTGTGGCTATGGCAATTTTGGCTCCTTGTGCTATGGGAAGCTCATTTTGGGTGCTCCTCCTTCTACCCCCTCAGGTGATTCAGTGACCAAACAAGTCCATGTAAGCTCCCAGGATCAGACCACAACTATCTGTTTCCTGTTAATTTTATGAACCACAATTCTCTCAGTAAATTGTTTCTCTGCTTCTAGATGGAATTGGTTTCTGTTGTGTAGAAACATGATAATTGACTGATAGACTATATGTAATTCAGAGAAATATAAATTTTAACCAAACAATTGAATTATGTATGTTTGCGACTGGATTGGATTCCCATTCTACACGTCAGTTGCAGTGGCTGAGAGATAGTCAATGACTAATTATTCTTAATTGTCCCCACAATTATGAAATGAAACTGTGTTTTAATGCAGATTGCCATGCCTTTTTAAAGCACCTGCTACACATGTTCGTTTGTAGCATTAGTTATTAGAGGTGACTAATCTATGCTTAATAGGGCACGTTCATTGGTCTGGATATTACTGAGTATTAACCTCCGTGATGTCTTGTGTTTAGACTCAGATATTTTATAACTGCAGATTAGAGTTAGACGTAGACAGTTTATGCCTTCCAGGACAATCAGATATTGATCTTATATGGCACACTTGGCTGATTGTCTATGACAGCCCGGGGTCATGATAAATTGTCTACATGCTCACTCATTTTTCTTGCCATGAATTTTCATGCTCTACAAAACAGCAATCTGATATCTATTTACTACTTCATCCAATGTCAATAAAATTAAAAAGATTAATAGTATCTTACTTGTGATAAATAGATCACCTTTCAGAAAGGTTGTAATTGACTTTAATTAGTACTTACTGTTCTTAAACCTATCTTTCTCTTCCATTTATGAGATATCAGTTGGGAGTATCTTCACACTTGTCTGAACAAAAATGTGGATGTGGCTCCATCTTCCATGATGGTTTGAAACCAAGTAAGTCATCAGAGTTGGGCAGTTACTCTCTTCTTGTTATCATCAAAGAGAAGTGTTAGCATAACTGAATTCTAGGACAAAAGACTCAAAGAAAATGTGGTTGTAACTAATTTTAATATTGAAATATTGAAAAAAGCATAAGTCAGAAAACAATCAGGTAAAAATTAGTCTCATTACGTCATAGTTATAGCATGGAAATCTGAGCACTGATATGACATTTTAATTATTAGTCAAAGATGTAATCCTCATTACCACACACAGGAGGAATCTATTGGTTTTATCAGATTTTTAGAACACGAACTACTACATGTCTCAGGTTTTGTGCTGGGCATTGCTAAAGCAAAAATGAATAGGATACTCTCTGTCTTTGATGAACTCACATTCTAATGCGTGACAGAAATAAATAACTCAATAAAATGTGAGTAGTGTCTTAACGGAAAGATACAAAAACCAGCGTCTAGTGGGTAAAACCTTGATACCACTAGCCAGGAGAAAGGAAAGTGGCATAGTGGATGGGGTGGTGCAGAGGGGAGAGAAATATAAAAGTTATTTATCTCCCACTCAAAATGAACCTGTAAACTCACTTTCCAAAACTTAGGAAGAAATCTAACCATAAGAAAGACAACCAACAGATCAACAATTGTGACAGGAAGTATATGAGATAAATTTTATGGAGATGTCTAATCAAGATTTCATAATAACCATATTAAGGAGGGTCAGAGAAACAACTGAAGGAATTATTGAGAAAAAAAAGCATAAAAACACAATAAGAGGTAGATTAGACAGATATAGAGAAAAATTACTTAGAAATATTATTAAAAAAATCAATGAAATTTAAAAAATCTTACCAGAAACTTTAGATTGGACATGGTTAAGGGGGAAAGTAGTAAATTGAAGGAAATGCTATGAGATTCATTCAGAATATAGTACACGATAAAATTAGGAACATTTATATAATTTATAATTATATAAAAGTTTTAAAATATGTACACACACATATGTGGTTGAGACAGGAGAATTATATAGGAAGACCCTGACATCTGTCTAATAGGAGATCCAGAATCAGAGAATAGGGGGAATGATGGACATAGTAGATTAAATTGTTGTCCAGCAAATATTTACTTTACACCTCTAATGCTTCATGGGAGTAGTGTACTTCCTTACTCCATTAGTGTTGGTTTTACATATATGATTTGTTTGGCCAGTGGAACATGGGCAGATGTGACAGTTCCAAGCCTGGACCTAAAAAGTCATTGCATATTTCCAACAACTCCTCTGGGAGTTTCCATCCAACCACAGGTAGAAAACATGCACTAGGTAGCTTGCTCTTCTCAGAGCAATCAGGCACGTGAACCCAATGCATACAGAAGCCACAGCCTGGAGCCACATCTAGATCATCCAAATCTCAGCCAACCTGCAGACCTGCTCTGGAAGAGCCTCCCAGCTAATTTGCAAATGTGTGAGCAAGGTATATATGCTTGTTGTTTCAGGCCACTGTCTGGTGTGTATGAACATGCATGTTTAAGATGGATTATTGTGGAAAGAGCTAATTAATACAGTGGAAAGGATATATTTAAAGAAAAAAGAACTGAGAATTCTCCAAAATGAAAAAGATGAGCTCTTGGGTAGGATGTACATTCTGAGTACAGTACAGGATTAATAAAGAAAATTCTATACTTAAATCTAGTGCAACTGCAGAATGGACTTTGTTAAAAAACTTGGAGTTGAGTACCTATGGTAATAACAAATAAGAATACACACTCAAAGAATAAAAATGCAATATATTGCTTCTAGAAGAAGAGGGGAGAGATAAAGGTCTATACAGAAGGTAAAAAAATGTCTGGTTATGTAGAAATCACACAACAAGATGATAGAAACAAGTTCAAATATATGATTAATTCCAATAAATGCTAATGGATTAAACTTACATTTTAAAAAATATATTTTATTTAAATATTAAATTTATTAATATTATTAATATTAAAATTATATTTTTTTAAAAAACATATGTGTGTGTAAGATTAGGAAAAGAATAGAAGTGAAACTAAAAGTGATAGAAGTAGATGACACAATCATACTAGACACTGGTGGATCAAGTGTAACACCTTGGTAAGTATATAGAGTACTTGTTTAACAAAATTAAGTAACACAATCTAATAGATGCATATAAAATAATGATTGTATGCCATTAATGAGGAATATTTATTATTCTCAAATACACAGAAAGCCATTTCCAAAAACTATTTCAAATAATGAATAAAAATCAAACATTCTTTCTTGACAATACATTGGATTTAGAAATTGTCAATTAAAACATAGTTTTAAAATTTTACACATTTGGAAAAAGAAAAACATTCCTAAATAATTCAAATGTTCGAGAAATGTCATAATGGCAGTTACAAAATATTTTTAAATAAATGACAATAAGAATAATCCTAAAGTAAAAGGAAGGAGAATAAAAGCAAGACAAAAAACTAATGAAATATAAAATCAAGAAACAAGAGAGGACCAAAGAGTTCTTTGAAAGAACTAATTTAATAGAGAAACCTTTAGCAAAACTAATCAAGAAAAAAAGAAAAAAAGTGGAAGAAAATAATTCTAGCAATATAAAGAAGCTTAACTAGGTGGAGCAGACGTTTTAAAAAAACATAATGGCGTACTAAAACATTTTGAATAAATTTGAACCTAGCTGACATGAATAATTTTGTATACATTACCAAAATTGATTTAAGCTGGTAAAACCTATAGCCATAAAATAAATTGCAACAGAAATTGAGATTATTCCCCCTCAATATAAAGGGGAGCCACAATTTGATCCATAGGTAAACCGAGCCTATGAAATGGCAAAACAGTTCATATAAGGAACATTACTAAAATTAGAATAGAAACTCAGTTTCTGTATCAATGAATAATGTTGATACAATGTCATAAAGTCACATAATTTCCTCTTATTACCCATGATTTCCTTGGGTCTTGTATTCTTGTCACTGGAATTTCTAACTCACTGCCCATCAAGTTCTACAGTACATGTCCCTTCCCATGAAGACTTATATTTCAGGGAGTTCTTCTTTGTTCTCTGGGGTCCTGTGACTCTGCCTTACATCATTGTGTCTGTGGGTATGTCCAATCCCCGCAGCTGGCCTGCAGCCTGTCAGTAGCGTCCCCCACAGAGGTCAGCATGGTGCTTTCTCCAGAGGGTGTGATTGTATCTGATGCTGAGGGAACATGTAGATATCACCTCCCTCCCTGTAGAAACCAGCAGTCTTAAGCCATGACCTTACAGAGAACGGGTGCAAAACAACGTCTTGGCCAAGTCCGACCCTGCTGCCCACAGCCCTCCTTAACACGCTGACGTGGTCAAGGGTAGACAGGCAGAAAGCTTCCACACACCACCCCTGGCTGGCTATGTGCCCACCTTGCCTCTGCTCACCCACAGCTCAGGTTTCAGCCTTCTGAATACTGGATAAGATGTGCCCAGGGGTCTCAGACCTCGCTCACAGTCATTGCAGAGTACCTCCTGGCCCTCTGGGGAAATGCAGTCTGTTCTGGACCGCTGGAACTGGTTCTTTCAAACTGTTTTCTGAGGACACTTTAGAACTATGTTTATTTTACAAGAACAAATTGGAGAAAACAGGTGAGTGACTGTATTACGCTGTGTTAACACTTTTTCTCTGACTGTCAGGTTTGTTTCAGTTGAAGTAAGTTGTGGGCTTTGCTTGTAGTTGGATACATATTTTTTTCTTGCTTTTCCAAATAAATACACACATTAATTGCATATTTTGTTTATTGTAGTATATTTGATTACAATTTTGTGTAAATATTTCAATTATTTTTATCAGATATTTATTACATGGTATTAAATTATGTTGCTTTTCAAAAAATATTCATATAGAAAAAGGAAAAGGAAACTCCATGTTATTAATATCAACTTCTGTTTCCCCAGTCACTGATTCTCTGACTGCTGTTCAGTCTCTCTGGCACTTGCTCACAGGGAAAGCAATGGCATCAGCACCTTCCATCCGTTGCCTTCTGGCCAAAAATCAGTATTATCGAAGTAAGTTGTAGCATCCTTAGAGGGTATCTCTAGAGAATATGATTCCGGGTGATGTTTTGGGATATTAGTAACCTGTGTATCATTTCCTGGTCAGAACCCAAGGGAGAAGACTGACCACTGTGTGTGTGAGTGAAGAATACTGGACTAGAACTCATCAGAGACTCTGATCAGTACTGTCAAGGATCATCTCTTTGTTTTAACTGTTTTATTGTACTGATGAAGCCATTAACACTATAAAAGAGTGGAAATAAGCTTATATTTCAAATTATGTTAAATTTCATGTACCTTATATTTAATAGGACACATTAAAAACTGATAATTTACGTAAATAAAATATTATTCATTCCTTAGAAAGGAAGGGATAGAGTGACTCTGCTTCAGGGATTTTCTAATTTTGATTTTCTGCTATGGATAATAGGTCAGCATCTATCTGGCTAGTTTTATTTTTATTTATGTATCCACCTGTGAATATTCATAGCTGAATGGAAAATTGTAGCTTCCTAAAGCAAATTCAGATATTTCATAAAATGAAATGATTTCTGAGTCAAATTATCATTTATTGAAAGTACGTCAGCAACATGTAGAAAACTCTTATTTCAAGCGTTGTTTGTAGCATAAGAGTTGGAAACACCTATTTATTCTTTTTACCAAAAGGTTAAATTATGCTCATTTACTTAGTGTTACTACATCCATAAAAGTTATTTATTTATTTATTTTGGTGAGGAAGATTGGCCCAGAGCTTACGTCTGTTGCCAATCTTCCTCTTTTTGCTTGAGAAAGATTTTTGCTGAGCTAACATCTATGCCAATCTCCCTCTATTCTGTATGTGGGATGCTGCCACAGCATGGCTTGATGAGTGGTGTGTGGGTCCGTGCCTGGGATCCGGGCCTGTGGATCCCAGGCCACCGAAGCGGAGCATGTGAACTCAACCACTACGCCATCAGGCTGGCCCCAGAAGTTATTTTTATATTCTGATCTTTTAAAAGACTTAGAGGTTTAAAATACAAGTATGATAAGACAAATAAAATGTTTATTCTTTAAAAATAATTCTCTTATTTCTAAATTTGATAGCTTTTGTAGGATATACACATGTAATATTTCTAATATAGAACAATAATATTCATTTGTGATTTTTTACTTCCTAAGAGTTTGAATTTGACAATATTTATAATATATTTTAAATTCTATATCTATATCTAAGGAGGGAGAGAAAAAGAGAGAAAGAGTTTTGTCCACCATGGAAAGGAATATACCATATTAGTTGAAAATGTAATATGACTTATTCTGGAAGACTTTTTAACTGATTTATAATTTATTCAGTTTTTCACTTCATGAACTCATGAGCCAGGAGTAAATGGTTTCAAACCATGCTACTTGAGAGTTTATATATAAATAATACGTGTGTGTCTGTTTGCTTGTTACTTATTTATTTATTACCATTTGTTTCCTACAGCGGCCAGTATTTCTTCAGTTAGTTCTCTAACTGGCTCTGATTCTGTTAACTTCATAGATGATGACAAATCCCAGCAAGGTATTTAATTTATTTCTTATCAGCATCACCCTTGTTATTTCCCCTTGTTTTTAATCTCTCAAATGTGTTTGGTAACAGAGTAATATGAATTTTATTTGATAGGGTTACCTGAAGTGGCAGAATCCACGTGGTGGTTTAAGTTATTTTTCTATTCTGAACCTGTGCTTTCAAACGTAAGAAGAAAGGATTTGGCTGCTAGTGGGTAAGTTTTAATCTTTTCTGACAAGGGTATTTCTCATTTAGTGAATGAAACAATGTATGTAGTAATCATTATGTTAACTAATAAGGATAACTACCATTATTTCTTGAGGATGGTAAAGACTTTGATATGAAGCATACTTGAGTGATGGAGATGGAAAAAACAGCTGCTCCCTCATTCTAGTTAACTGTCAATCAGGTCAGGAGCACTCTGTCACTAGTGAGTGATTGAAAAGTCACATGCCAATTTTTATCATTGTTTAGGGGGAATAAATTGGGAATGAGAGGCAAAGTTCTAAATTTGTTTTTCTGATACCTTCAGGAAACAATTGATCTAGTTGCTATCCTAGACAACCTAGTTCAGTCTCACTGCTAGTCTTGATTGGTCTCTATATGGGTGCCAATCACTAGATAGAAGATTGAATTTGTGGGTTTGTATAAAACCATTTCCACACATTTTGTACCCTAACACA